CTTGATGAATCAGAGATGTATGGTTCCGTAGAGCCCATATAGCCAATTTTTTATGTCTGTACATATATCACAGGAAGTTGAAAAGTGGAGAGCGAAGGTTGAAGTCAAGAGAATGGATGCAAAAAAACGAAATCTTCTCTTGGAGTGGGGAGCAAAGTATACGGCAGACGAACTTAATACGAGAGACGCCTCATATAAGATCCGTGTCAGCACACTTGAAAACAAAGGGTCGGTAAAATGGGCTGTTGCTGCCAACAAGTGGTGGAATAAAGTTGAACTGTTTGCAACAGCGATGTCTCTTGTTAAGGATCTTAGCAAAGGACCGGAACGTGATCGCGGCGGGAAACGTGCAAGTAAGATCGTTCCCAAGCATTTTCTTTGAGCTTTAATTTTAACTGAAATATGTTGTATCAAAATGATAATATCTGCGATTGGGTTGCTGTTATTACAGATAGGAGAACTCGTTCTTCAGATAGTAACATGGATGTAGGCGTCAAGAGAAAGCCACCTGGTGAGAGGACACGACGTGCTAACATATGGCGATGAGTTGAAAGTCGTACGTGGACTTCGATACTGGTTAGTTTCACTTACAAAAGTCTTAAATGGCAATTTTCATACCTGTTTTTTTTCCCACTCTACCTAAATAGGCTTCAATGTGGCTCGAAAGAAGTGGTATGGGGTTTTTTCTCCTCATTTCTTCCTTGTAGTTGGTGTACTTGTCCTACTTTCAAAGAGGAAGCGGATAATTATATGTATTTTGAATCGGTGTTTCAGATCGCTATGCTTTTGCTTCAGTAACCATGGTAGTGTAGTTGCTTCATTCTGAAACTCGAAATCTGCTGATGTCTGTCTGAACTGGATCCTTAACGTATGTTTATCCTTAACGTATTCATAAAATCACCGTTCTTGGATTCTGGGACTGTAGATCAGTATCTGATTATAATTTTGCTTTTTCTAATACAGCTTTTATGGTGCCAACGAAGGATGCAAGTGTGATGACAAGTCCTCATGCAACCCTTGCAATTGCAAATGAGAGAGAACACCTCCAAATTATGCTGTTTATATTCCACGAAGTCATCCTCAGTTAACTGAGGATGATGAGCTGTAGCGAAAGTTTTGCAAATCATGTATGCAGTGGCTTTAGGACGCACTCATCACTTTCTGGAAGTTTGACTGTGCTTTCAGTTGACAGTTCGCAGCTTTAGAGTTTTTGTATCGGAACAAAATTGGAATAGAGCTACATCGTGCACTACACATTAACTTTTCTGTACACTCGGATTTTTCTACAGTCTCAGACTTATTTGAATTATGAATTTGAAGCCTTGGAGGCTAATTTTGAATCTTTTTGTATTGTGAGATGTCAGCGTGGTTTTTAGTACCAGTTCGGTTCATGGAAGCTGTAAGTTAGGAGATAGTCAATCTACATGGTGGCACACAGGTCGAAAGCAAAAATATAGGGTCACATGAAAGGGAGAGAAACATACCCAACAAATCTAGCTCAATGATAAGAGATACAAAGAAAAGGAATCAGGACTACCTTCTCCATAAAAAGTCATTTCTTGTTCAAACAATATCCCCCGCCTATTTCTGTGTGTTTATATTCCTATAGAACTCTCATGACAAAAACAGGAAGACGTATACAGTACTTTTGTCTGAATTTGGAGATTTATTCTTGAACTCAATGTAGGATCACACTAAACCCTACATCACAGAATCATGTGTATATGTGACGACATAAATAAAGTCAGCAGAAGCATCTGCTGTAAGATTTCTGGTCATAGGTGTGTTCTGTGAACTTACTGCATGCTTAAGTGAATTAAGTTGGACCTTGGACAATAAGTATGGAGAGTAGTGAGAACTGATTCGACAGAGGTATGTAATAGCCAAAAGGGTGGCGAGTTCCAAAGACAATTCTTGTCTCATCCGACAGAAGTTGCCAGTTATTGAAGCCGTCATTGGTCTGGACCTTCAGTCACATTGATTCATAATTCATCTCACAAAATGTCATATATTTGCTTCTGTTATCTGACTTTGCTCATTGCAAAATGCTCATTTCTATACAAGATGGACGATTATAATCAGTAAGGTCCTGAGTTATCTACATCCAGCAAAAACTCAAACTATCTCGAAACTGCAGTTGTAAATATGTTAAACGATTATATGCTCTAATATGTGACTATGTTACCAATTATGCAAGTCACACAGCCATCTGAGAGCTTATAGGTGCACTAGACGTCGGCATAGGTGACAAAGACAACATTCTGATAGTCACACAAAACTTTAAGTGAATCTACTTCAAGATTGTACGTGCCTATCAGAGGTCTCACACTGTAAGTTTCAATGCACATCGAAGAGTTCCAAATCAAATTGTTCTGAACTTTTAGTGTTCAGATACAGGTATCTGACAGATACAGGTAGAAAAGGGTTCGAGATAGAACTATTTACTGTGTATTCTTCACACGACTCGCTTAGTTGCACAAACTTTTACAAACGGCCGTACTATACAATATGTTATCACCGTTTGATTACAAAAATTACAGTTTGAACGCTAGGGATTCCATATGAGCTATACCTCTTGCGATTCAGTTTTAGTTTTTAGTTCCCGCAACGTTCCAAGACACGACCGCAATCATTGTTACGGCGTAGATCATTGCAACACAATAGATACAACGTTGCAGCCTCTACAGTGACGGCCCCTCTTCTACATGGTTGTTGGAATTTCATCCGGTTGAGTGCATCTACATGGTTGCCGGAATGTATAGTCCGCCGACCCTCCCCGCATAGTGTTCTTATAGTCCATCGTTAGATCCGTCTGCCGGAAATCACTTTGATGCTCCATCGGAAAATTGAGTGCCAATGAAAAACCTGCCCGGTTAGCCTGCCCGCACATTCTTCCATCTTTGGTACAAAAGAGGAGAGTCGCAGCGAAAAGAAGAACTTCCGTCACGGATCACTGCAGGATGACACCTGCCTGGGTCTACGAAGGCCCTATATAGGGGCTATGTATAAGTTTGTGCAGCTAAACCCGTCCCTGAGTAATGGCACCAGCTCGGCGAAGTCATACGTGACAATGCTTTAGGGTCTTCACTAGACCAAAATGATAGAATTGACTGGAAGTCTATAGAAGCTCTTGCGCGTGCTGCTAGCTCCGAAGTCAAGTACCCGATAGTGGAGCTTGTACTCGAACCTTAGAGTGACCATGAGTTGATGTTATCATTAAACCTATTAGGTAGGGTACTGCGCGCGGAAATCAATTTTCTAAAATATTTCAGTCTATCGGAGGGATATCTTCACACGTCAAGTTGCAACCAAGAGAGTATATCTGCGGGATATCTTCACGTACAACCAAGAAATGGATGAATGGAAAAACGGGAGAAACTTGAGTCCTCAAGAGACTCAAGTTATATGTCAAAAACACTGATTTTGGGAGTATGGAAGGAACGATGGATGGAAGGACCTCTTTTTTTCTTGAGAAGAACACAAGTCTCACTCACTTGGATTTTTCTAACAAAGCAATCCACGAAAAGGAGTTCAGAGACTTGATGGGACTCTGCAAGTGAACCTGACTCTTCAAGAGATAGATGTCTCAGAAACCTCATGGACAAGGGAAGTAAATAAGGTGCTAATTCAAGAGACCCTACAGCAAAACCAGAAGCGGGCCGCTGCATGGCGGTGTTGAGGGAAGCCAAATTAAGATTCGATAGGCAAAATCTAGTCGACTCTTTTTATGTGGCTTTTCCAGAGCAGTCATCTCAAATGTTTTCTCAATGTATATGAACTAGAATCTAAGGGTTTAGTTCTCAGCACTTAGGATGATAGCCATAATGTTTATTTTTTATCTCTAGATGTATTTGCTATTTTGTACATATATTCTTAAATATAAAAAGAAAAATAAATAAAATTTCCAACTCAATTTCAATTATGAATTATTATTTTTCAAGAAAATTTCCCATCTTGTTGTGAAATTCGGAATTTCTAATAATCCTGTTCTATCTCAGACAGTAACTGCTTGACTTATTTCTGAGTCTGCTCTAAGATTTCTTTGTTTTTCTGTTTATCTACACAATATGTATAAATATGTCAACTAACAAGTTGTATTTGTTGTAATTCTCTTTATTCAATTTATCAGGCAAGTATACACTGTGTCAAACCATAAACCATGATGAGGATAGTTCAAGGAAAGTTGTGGAAAACCACAGGCATTGAAGTGGTGTTCTTGCAGAACAATGACAAAGGGTATTTCTCAATCTGGGATCTTGCGGGATAAGTGATTTTCCGTACCCTCTTGGTTGCAAGGATATCAAGACCCATTCTCATGTGACTTGATGTGTGAGCTTAATATGACAATTTGTTGCATTCAGTGAAGTCAGTGATCTTGAAACGATGATCAGTCCAGTTTTCTCTTAGAAAACGCTAGAGGCTCCAGGCGAGAGACTTGCGGAGGAAATTGAAAGTGAGATTTTGAAGGTTGACTGGCTGTGACAAGTTTTCAACTTTGTACCGCAACAATGCAACTTTACGACGTGATAAACGAGCAAGAGAACTCGTAGCACGTAAAAAGTTTGCTCTAATTTAGAGTTGGACGTCTAAAGACTCTGAAATTGAAACTGTGCATGTGCTCACATGCTCCACTGTTGAGCAAGAAGAAGCTAGAATAACAATCATACCAGCACATAGAGAACCTCGAGAATTCATACACTCTGTACACAGTTTACATTGTCGTTTAGCAAAGTAACCAAAAGCTGATCAGTTCGTTCTGAACTCTCGAGTTATGTAGACTACTCTACCTACTTTGAAAGCAAGAAAAGAAGCAGAACATGTTCTGTCAGCCAAGCTGACAACTCACATGCCACTCAGTTGTCAGAATACATCGCAGATTCCAGGAATATGATTCCATGAGGATAAACTCTGAAATCTCCTTTTCAGCGTACGATATCGAGTGTATCGTCACACTGATGCATTCACGCGTATATCATGTTCGCTTTCACAACAGAGTCAAGATTTACTCCACCTTCGAAGACCATTTGCCAATCACACAGAGAATGGAAGAACGCGCTTGGTGTGTTCGAATGTTGTCGTGACCTCGACCGCTCACACGATTCAATGACAAGATCTGAGTGAAGACGTTGCCTGTATATCCCACGCGCTACCCATTGTAGGATCTGTCCTCACTTGATTCGCATTCTACCAGTCCAATTCTACATCCAGCTTTTCACATCTCAGAGTACTTCACATCTGAAATTTGCACTTATCATGACGTTCCATGACGTTTTGCATCCACATCCTGCCATATTTGTTGCGAACTAGTCTTGTGGTTTTCAGATTCACCTGTGGAGCTATCAGCTTCTCCCCTCAGTTCGATAACCCGTGCACATCGCACGCCTCTCTATCCGAAACCACGAAAGGTTTCCGATCTCGAAATACGTGAAATTACCTTTGTACATGCTCTACGAATTGCCGCGGAACCAGAATCCAGTGTCAAAGTTCAATTCAATGTTAATGGAATTGCACCCTCAATTGAGTTCAGGCAGCTCCCGCTTCCACCTGCGTTCCTGGTAATTGCTGATGATCAATCTTGGAGTAGCCTCACGCTCAAACTTGGATGGGCTGGCAGGTGCGTTTCTTCGAAACCCACTTTGTATATTGATGCTCGATTGAGCCTCTGATGCTAGCGGGCATTAAATACGTGTCCGGAGATTGCTTGCTCGTTTTGCTTTTTTATGTTTGACAGTTCTCTAGACTGTAAGCCCTGTTTGACTGCTATCGGGTCGCACGTCTCGTCTTTTGAACGACATGGACAGCTCGTTCAAGTCTTCGATTGTAAGGCGGACCTCATCGGCATCTTGGGGTGCTGTGTAAGATTGTGCGGTGTCAGCTGCTGCTTTTCTTTGTTGTACAGTATTGTGTAATCCCTATTGGCTTCGAACGCTTTGAAATCCACGCGTGTGTAAAAAACATGACATGGTCGAGTTCGCCTGCTCTAGAGTGAAGCGTAGCCTTGGGGCATGCCTTTTGTGGCCTTATTTTTCTACTTCTTCTGTTGCGATCGGTCATCTATATCATGCATAGCTTTTTCTTTGATCTTACAAGAACGAAAAGAACCACCCACGCATAATAAGAATCCTGTTGATGGATCAGAATTATTTTCAAGGCGATAAGAGTAAAATTAAGTCGTGATCAATATGCAAATGATTGCGCGTTGAGAACTGTCAGAAAATGTAGAGGTTTTATTGGACGATCTCGTTGGCATTCCGCGCGCACTCTTGAGCAGTTTCTAGTATACAAAGTGCAGGGAATGTAATTCAAGGGTCTTGCAAACACAGGGGAGTTCAAAAGGCGGGTTGCGGGGATGCTGTTTGTCATGTTTGCCGATCACCTATCTGTGCATCTAGCTGTACAGAAATATAAAGGCATCCTTGTCAAGATCACTGATCTCTGTATGAAACGTACCCTGTTTGCGGTGCGTATACATCTCGTCAACCGTTTGAAGCAGACTTTTGTTTTCCTTCAGCTCACGCGATGATCTTCCGGACATCAAGTTCTGTGGGGTTTTAGGGTAGACGTGGAGTCATCCCTTAATCCTGACAAATACGATTAGTAGTTCGTATTACTAAGACTATTTGTGTGTTTGCAATCTCTTCTTAGTCAGCGTCGTACTTGTATGGACGCTGCGATTTTGCTTTCATTTACAGGATCGACTAAAGCTTGTTAGTTATGCAGGAGCGATGTGACAATTGGAGAGACACTGCAGGGCCAGCTCAACAAGCATTCGTCGAGGTGGTCACCGCCATTTCTCGTTTCGAGCCTGTCACAGTTTGTGCCAGTCAAAGAGAGGTTTGTGACATTTGAACTTCAAGCTTTGTTAGCAGGATAAACTCACCAGATCGAATTAAACCTTCAAGCTGCACTCACATCGGTGACTCTTCTCTCTATTTTAGAAGACTTTGTGATCCTTGACGGTAAGTATCAGTCTTCACGGAGTATCAGAAAGTCGACCGCAAAATGTGTCCAGTGTCGCTAAAACGAAACTTTGGACTCTTGGTTCGAAAAATAGTTGAACATATGCTGGATAATGTATGATTGAAATCTAATATATCTCTCATGATCCGCATATGTGCAGAGCATGGAGTACTCTGGGCTGCTCCTCTTGCACCGCGCTAGAAGTCTGATGTCCAGCACGCACATGCACTCGAGTTGTTGTACTGCGACAGAAGGTTCAGATTTCTCCGAGTGAGCGGGGCTTGCGATTGCGAGTAGAGGAGGAGGACTCTTTTAGTCTCGGATTCAATTTGCCTGCGCATTCCAAGGAGAAATCGGTTCTTTCTCTTTGAAAATGGAGGGCAGAATGGGAGGAGCCGGTGCATCCATGCTCAGTCCCGCTGCTGAACTTGCTACACGGGGAATGGACTGCGCAGACGAGGAACCAGAGCTTCCCTCTGCTGTCCAAGACCTCATACAGCGTCTGGGAGGGGATCCCAGGCATGTATTGTTGTATCGACTATGGCGTCCCATATTAAGCGGTCCAGAAGTTAAGGATTTCTTCCCGGAGGATGCACCGCTTTCGACAAACACAGGGTGGCGAAGCCAAGTGCGCCTTCGAGTGCTGGAGGCAATCGGCAGCTGCAGCAGCTTCCAAGAAGTGCTGAGCGTAGAAGATATTTGTGGCGGTCATATATCCAGGTTGACCGCTAGCGAGTGGGAGGTAATGTTGAGAGGTTTTAGGTCCAGCAGCGTTCTACTGGTGATATCAACTGGCAAACTGACATGGAGTTCCCAAGCGGATTTGGAGAGCTTTGGTTTACAGCTGGGGATAATTCTGAATACCTCTAGTGTAACAAAATTGGCAATACTTAATTGCAGATTTACTGCCAGATTTTTCTTGAATCTCGCATCAGGACTGCGAGAAAATTCTCACTCGAAACTCAAGTCTTTAGAACTACATCACGCCTTGGGGGACCCAAACGCGGTGAAGTTTATCGTTGAGGTGTTGAACGGTCATCATCAATTAGAAACTTTGAGTTTAGGCTCCCACTGGGTTTATGATAGAGAAGACGACGTGGACGAGGCCGCCGTTCTGCTGTTGTCCCAAGCTTTGAAGCAGAACTCGTGTTTAAAAGAATTGGTTTTAGAAAGAGTGGAGGGTGGATCTGCTGCCTTATTGCTGAACGCATTGGCAGGAGATGATGGCAACCCATCGATTGAGCGACTTAAGCTGATAGCAATGTCTGGAATCGGGAAATGTTTAGCAGAAGTTTTCATTTCCAATCGATCATTGAGGATAGTGACGTTGAACGCCATCAACATGCCTGTGCAAGAATGGCGCTTGCTAGGTGAAGCCATACGTGACAATTCCACAACAACAACTGTCAACGTATGGATTTATTCACTTTTAATCATGGGACTAGAAGAGCTTGCCTGCGCTGCTAGCTCTGATGGGAAGGGACCCGTGATACATCTTGAAATCTTTCCTCGGGATGACGATGAAACAATGTCAGCGCTCAACCTTTTAGGTAGTGTACTGCGAGGGGAAATCAAGTCTATAAAAACTTTTGGTTTACATCAGTCCTTTTCTTTCACTTCAGGTGGCAACCGAAAGAGTACGGAAGGTATTCTTTCAATGAATGGAAAAACTGGAGAAACTTCAGTCCTGAGAAGACTGGAAATGAAGTTAGAGAGCGAAGATATTTTTAAGGGAGTATGGAAGCAATTGCTTCAGTGCTTGCGTAGGAACACAAGTGTCACTAGCTTGTCTTTGTTTTTGGTTTTCGACGGAGGATTCAAGGAGGAGTTCAGGGACCTGATGGCGCTCCTGCAAGTGAACTTGACTCTCCGGGAAATAGATGTACGCCGGACCCCATGGGCAACGGACGGAAAGGCGGCGCTGATTGAAGCGGCCTTGGAGCAAAACCAGAAGCGCGCCGAGTACATGACCGCGTTCAGAGAAGCCAGACTTCAATTGGGAGATGCAAAAGCTGGTAGACTCTTCTTATGTGGCTCTCCTCGAGCAGGTAAAGTGCTCTTCAATTTGGCCTTTTCTTTTCTCAATGTGTTCAAACGTGCAATATGAGGTCTTGCTTTTCTACATTTAACATTTATATATATATATATATATATATAAGCGTCAAAAATAGAAGAAAATAAAATTACACAATATTCCAAATAATTTTGATTCGATAGTTTTAACTCTTTTGGAAAATTAGTAAGTTATCTTCAATCCAATTTATCTACACTATATTTTTATAAAATATCACATCAAATTTTCTTTGAAGATATCATAAGTAACATGTGATTTTTATTCAATGTATAGGCAAGACTCAATTGCGTCGAACTCTGATGAAGATAGTTCAGGACAAGATCTGGATCAGGGAAACATTGGACAAATTGTCAAGGACCAAAGGAATTGAAGTGGAGTTCTTGCAGAACGATGACCAAATGCAAATCTCAATTTGGGATTTTGCTGGACAATGGATTTTTCGTACACTTCAAAATGTACTCTTCCCTCAAACCAATGACTTTTGTGTTTTTCTTTTCGTGTATAGCCCTTTCTGTGAGGAAACATCTTCTCTCAAACAAGACTCTTGTTTCCGGACGGAGTTGGAGAGTTGGCTGACATTCATCTCATCCAGCACTAAGGTCATGGGTCATAATCTTCCACAAGTTCTTGTTGTGATTTCACACAAGGATAAGATAGAATCCACCTCTTTGACTTGGGCTCACACTATAGTGGAAGAACTCAAGATACGATTTGCAAACTATGTGAATCTTTGCCCTAGTCAAGACTTTCTTTATTTGGATGCTCGGAAGAAGAAACAAGTGAGACCTCTCAAAATTCACATTTTTGAGATGTTCAAGAAGTTGTTGAGTGAAAATTCTCCACAGATTCCTCATTTGTGTTTTCAACTCTCTTCCCGATTGCTTTCAAACATCAAGAAGAACAAAACTTGTCCTCTTTGGTCATTGAAAAAGTTTCATGATTTCTGTAATTCCAGCTTGAAACAACTCATTCTACCATCTTCTGTTGATCATCCAAGATTATATAACTCCCTCATATCCTACTTAAATGATGTTGGATCCATCATTTATATTCCCAACCTTGATCACATCGTAGTGGATCCGAACTGGCTCACAAATTCATTTTTGGGTGAGCTCATAGCTATAGGTCAACACTTTCAAGCTCAAGCGTCATGTGAGGAATACACAAGCAAGGACGGATTTGTGAGTGAGAGTGTTTTTTCTCGATTGATGGAAGCATTCCTGAAAAAGCAACCACGCCTTCAAAATGTTCACAGAGAGTTACTTGAAAAGATTCTTTTCAATTTGGATTTGGCTTTCAAGCTCAAAGAATCTTCTCAATATTTCATTCCCTCCTTCATCCGTGAGTATGCAAGCATGGAACAACAAAAGCAGCAAGAAGGGGTGCGCGTGATGTCGATGTCATGGGACTCTGAGGTTGCAACTTCAAAGTTTGTCGGCATTCGGATTCAATGCGAAGATCTAAAAACAATGTCACTGACTCCTGCATTTTTTCCACGCTTCCAGGTGAGGGTCAATCATGAATGCATGAACCTTGAGAAAATATTGAATTCCTTGAGTTATGATTGTACTTTGTGTAAGATAAATTCAATTTTTCTTTTTCATCAATCATGTCAAATCAGTAGAATGTCTCATTCAATCTCTCACAAAATTTTTATGATTGTAGATGTTCATGAGACGCAAGTTGAAATCCGAGACTATGACACTCTCTCGACATTATCTGCAACTTTTACTCGACGGTCACCAAATTTATGTGGAGCACGATCAGAGTGAAAAGTGCCACAATTACGTAGATGTTCTAATGTTATGCTCGGAGCATAAGTCAAAGGAGGCGGCCATCGATTTTGTCATGAAGCATATTGTTGAGGAGTTGAGATCATTTTGCGCATCAACAAAAGGCTGTCCTGGCGTGGCGTTAGTGCTCGGTGTGATCCAGACCGTTTGCGTGGAGAAGCTGATTCCGAGTCATCTCAGAGGAGCCATTCTGATTGAGGAGCTCAAATCAAAGTTCTCTAATAGCATCAATGACAAACTTGGGGATATTGCGTTGGATAGGTCACAATTGGTGAAGGAGGAAGAGTTGCTCAACTATGAGTATACTTGGCCCCCGATTCCATTGTATTCAAACACAAGATTCGAACGGGCTACAAATCTACTATGGGAGAGCGATGTGGAGGCAGTTGTGAATGAGATCCGACTGAAGCGCAATCAACAATTGGAGTCATTGCAGCAAAGCCTCATCAGCTTGAACGATGATTTGGCTCAGTCTCAGTCTGAAAGCAAGATAAGAGTTAGCAACTCGAGTTTACCTCACCTAAATGACTGCAATCCAGCTTCAGCCTGCTGCTCGACACAGGCCAGCTCAAGTGTGGACACCCAACTTGTTTTGTCTGAGATCCATCAACTAGGAGAAAAGGTTGACAGTGTGCATGAAACAATGAGGTCAGTGAAGAGCATTGTGCAGGGATTGGATGTGAAGTTGGGACAGATAATCCTTGTGCAGCAACAACTACAGTCAACCTTCAGTGACTTCATGTCTAAAGTTGACAGGTTGATAGAATATTCAAAATCGCATCAGCAGGCCAAAACGCCAAAGCGACCTTACGTCACGGATGATGTTGGCATTTTCTATAAGATGAGTGCACGTCTGCGTCTCACAACAACCGTTTGCTTACGCTTGATGTGTGAGTCAGTCACTGGATTTCACACCGTCAAAAATCAAGAAGGTTTGAAGCTGCGCTTGGATCGGGAAAATAGCGGATGGATACGAAGAGTTATTGAGATTTCATACAAAATCCTGTATTATGCTGTAAAGGTTGGACTGGATGTGACCCTGGGGTTAGGTGAAGCTATTCCGCAGTGGGATGATCTTAAAACTGATGTTGTTCAGCTAGATAATATTAGTGATATTGATTGTTGGGCAATTCGAAATGGTGGGCATAGCGTGCAGCTGAACGAAGCATGGTCGAGGATTCAGCAAATTCTTGCGCCTGAGCTTAAAGATAGCTATTCTAAAATCTTCAGGTTGTATCGGGTGAAGTACAAAAATGGTGAGCATGCATGGGTGTGCGAGGAGTGCATGAGAAAAGGTCGTCTTTCTATAAGTTAATTTGAAATGTTAGGATTTTAAAGAGATTACAATGTCATTATGCAATTGGCATGCATATGTTTAGACTCTCTTGCATTATAAACCTTTGCATAATCTTCCTTACAATTTTCACTGGTACAGGACTTTTAAAAGTTTTGTAATCATGTCTCTTCTCTTGTCTCATGCTTCCCACCATCTTCATGTATGAAGGTATTGAGGAGACTGCTTCGCTCCCCTCCTTGAACCTGTTGAACATGCAAAAAGAATCATCCACATCCCAGCATTTCAGTTCTAGTGAGCGATGTGTCAGGTCAAGGTTGACAAGCTCATTTCTCTGTATACACCCTGATAACCTGCGTTGTGCTGGCCGTGATTTCAGCATAATATAAAAGGGCAGCTTGCTCAAACCTGTCACGTGTAGAAATATGCTAGTTTCGAAGCACGAATGCCTTTGCGGTTACAGAGTCTCTTGCTGCATTTCGAGAGGATGCAGGATCTAGTTTGATTACTATAATGAGGAACGCGATTCTTGTTGCAACTCCTTGATTCGGATTTTGAGTTGATATTCATGGTTGGATCTATACAATCCAACCATGAACCATCATGGAGATCTTACAAACGTCTCCCATCATCCAAGCTCACATACGAGAAAGATCATGGTCATTGGGTTGAAATGAACGCGGAGAATTATATCAACTTTCGATTCGATACCGCCACTTACTTCAAACTATACATCGACCAATCACGTCCATAAAGCTGCATTGCAATTACTCCAACTCAAATTGAGCCAACTTCATTGCTATGTTCGCAAACATTCATCGTGCATTCAAGCCGCAGGCTCTTGGGTCTCAGCCGAGACTTCCTGGGCCAAATGTTTGGATTGTGATTGGAGAGAGAAGAATTATGCAGTGGATTGTGCAGAGCTCGTGAGAAAGAGGTCAAGAAGTAAGACTCCGAATCACTTAGGCTGACTCGCTCAAACTTTCGGAACTTCCGGATGCTTCTAAATATATTCCCTTGCAATTGCTCACAAGTTTCATTCATATGAAGAACAGCAAACACTGATCTGAACTTCTATGGTACGTACCTTGGCAATGGCGAGAAACTGACCCAATCTTACAGCCTGTCATAAATTGCCTCTTTGGCTCATAAATTCTTCTATCGGAACTGGAATTTGACTCTCATTGTTTTACTTGTTGGGTCCTTCTATCGCAGTGAGCTCGTGTGCTACAGCAGACACGAAACTTCAGTGTTGGTTGATGTTGATAAACGTGTGTCGTCTTCATCTTCATCATTTCTGAGGTTACGTGCTTCCAAAGGGTTGGAGAATTCTAGCAGTCGTGAGCCCCATTCATAAGGACACCGAAAATTATCCCGAGCCTTTGAAATTTGACCCGGACCGTTTCGAGGTAAGAACGGATATCTCTCTGCATTAAAATTTCAGGAAGTTGGTCTTCTACGAATATACGATTCCAGACAATGAACTTAACTGCTGCATGACTCCATAACCTGGTGAGACCTTTTGGCTTCACTGTTGGCAGATGCCTCCAAACCCCAAGACATTTCTCCCATTTGGCAGAGGTAACCGAACATGTGTGGGGCGAGACATTACGAAGTTATGTAGTTATGACTCTCTTCCACATCTGCACCAGATTCACTCGAGTATGTTGTTGACTTCATTCTCGACCCGCCCTACTGCATCACTGAAGTTCTTCCATTCCAAGTCTAATTTCTGTTGCTTATCAAACCTGATGCCCTCTTGAAGTGCTGTAGAAAATATCAGTTTGGGAGAGGTTCGCTTTAAAACTTATATTTGGCATCGTCGATTGCATTGCAGCTTGTGTCTCGATGCCTCGGGAGGGATCCGCTGACTTGGGGCGTGACTAGCTTAAGTTTGCTATTAACAATTTTTTTCTTCGAGTGCTTTCAAACGTGGAAGATTATGAGCCCGGACAAACGGATGAATTTTTTTCCCGTCGCTAGATTGGCCGGCAAATTTGAACTCGAGTTCTCAACCCGTTCTGAATCCGTTTAGATAGACTTTAGAACCCAACCCAGAATTCAGATTCGGATCCATTCGAGCTCCAGCGATTCTATCTGTGGTCAGATTACTAGGAGTACTACATATGGCTCAAACGTTAAAGTTTCAGCCTGCTGCTGGCTCTAGAAGTCAAGCTACGAACACGTACTTTATAGAAACATTGTGGATAATTTATTTTACACGGTTATGGAATGAATCTACATCATGAACAAGTTCTGCAGTCTTCTTTTGAGAGAGGTTGTCAAGGACTGCATTAGAGAACAAACTTAGAATGAACTGCGTAAATCGGTTGTCTTGAAGAGCCTATCTTCATCCAGAAGCTTCGTTCCTGATTAACCATCCATTCTCTTTCTGATCTTACAGGATCAAACGTTTAAAGCTACGAAGCAGGATCCGAATCGATTCAAACTTCATTTCACTGCAAAAAACTTCGTCCCGTCATTGATGCATCCGAGATCTAGATTGGAGAAAACAGATAAAAGGTAGGCGAACATAGAAGACCTCATCAAATACTGCTTTCTGACCACTGGCGGCAAAGAATTGCATAAGCAATGTGGATCGTAAATGTGGATCGGAATTTCGTAACTTCTAATGCAGACAGTCGCCGTTCTGTTACAGATATACTCTAATGGAATTCTTGATCATAACAACCATGTGACCACGTAAACTATGTGTTTGTTCGTGCGCTTATCTATGGCAGGATGACCAGGTTCTCTCTCTCTTTCTCAAATGCTCCGTCATCATAATAAAGGTTGAGCACATCATTGGCTTATGAAATCCGAAGTAACCATTTTCAAATGTCTAGAAGCTCGCAGTAAGTACGAACAAAAATACCAGTTTTCCTGGTTTATCATGTACCTGTACTGTCTAATGAAGATTACTTTGTTAGCCCATGTTAAAAGTAATTGCTCTTTTTACGTGTTTATCTTTCAAGAGGATGAATTGTCATTACAATATAGTCTCGAGAAAATTCCCGTGGGCATGTTTTATTATATTGGATGTTTCACGGTCCTACACGTCGGTCTGTAAGCTTCTGCCATCTGTAAGCTTCGGTTACTCGCAAAGCTTCAGATTGTACAGCACGCAAATCTTCTCAAATCCTGAATTGTTAATACGCGAAGCATCAATTTCGTTCGTCCTGGACCGACCGCGCGTCGTAAGCAGCTCCTTACTGTTCTCGTTCTTATGTGCCACTTTCAAGTCTAGGCTCCCGAGGCATCTATGATGGTGGTGATCACGGAGTATTGGGACATCGTCTGCCCCACCCCGGAAGAAGAATCAACGTCTGGAAATTTTCTCTTCTCACCAGGTCCAAAAAATCGACCGCACATGTGGCTGCAATCCCGAAATGCCGCTCACCTCGGACTAGTCTGCATAGATAGAGATGGCAAGACCATGAAATCATACTTCGAAGATAACTGAGAACCAACAATTTGGTTTTAGTCTCTTATGGCCACGGATGGTGAGTTTTGGTGCCATGACCTCGTGAGCATGCACAACTCACCAGGCTCGGCATGCCTACGACCTTGCAAGAAACATATTCGTAAATTCGAGTAGAAAGGTAATACTTGGAGTGGACTAGAAAGATAAATTTAGCCTCAAAAAAAAATATGAAGGTTCTCTCACGGCGAGGGGCTCATGCCTTGCATACGAGAGAGTGGGCAACCAGGTCCACCGCATTTACCAGTATTACAAATGAAGAGAAGGTGTAAAATCAGCGAAAATTCGGATTACATCGTTGTTTCGGTGGCATGATGAAAGTGAGAAGAACGATTCCGGAATCGATTTGTTAAGAACGGGCCAAGGGAGTCGCTCAAGTGTCGACCGAAGCTCCATGTAGCCAGAGGATACGCTCAAATATCAATGCTTCGTCTTCGAGAATGTCCTGCTCATTTCTTCGTATAATTATCCATCCGTCGACGGTAGCCACGCCGCGCAAGATGCGTAGGAAGTGCATTGTCTGTGGTCCCAGAGTAGTTCTCTTCATGCGTGCCAAATTTATCGGTTGTAATTTTTAACGCTGTAACATCGTAAACTAAGAGGGAGCCGCCAGCAGATGTCAATACGCCCGCTCGGTAAACGCTCACGCGGTTCGCAAACGACCGGATCTGGGTGTGGAGTATTACCTTCCAAAATGTGACGACAAAGATTCGAGTTTGAATTTCTAGTCCAGAGATCTTGGTGGTCCGTTACGAAGGCGTTGGATTAAGCCAGATCCATGCCCGAGACTTGGATCGGGGCTTTGCAGGTACCAATATGGGATCGTAGATTTCAAATATATAGGACACGAGTCTCACCATGTTCCACTTGTGCTCGACTCGCAGACGAGGTTTATCGTCGATGACCGATGGAGCCAAGGAAGAAACAGAGACCTAGTCTCTTTACTTGCGAAGCCTGCAAATTTCTTCGCAAGAAGTGCACGTACGACTGTCCATTAGCGCCACACTTTCCTGCAGATGGACCCTTAAGGTATCCAATAGTGCACACAATTTTGGGGCGCCATAATGTCACCAAGATTTTGCAAAACTTGCCGGAGTTGAGCCGAGCGGATGCAGCAACGACGTTGTATCTCGAGGCCGAGGCAAGGATTAAGGATCCGGTTTGCGGATGCTCTGGCGAAATTTACAGAACCGAGAAAAGGATTACGGAGCTCCAAGCAGAAATTTACAGAGCCGAGAAAAGGATTACGGAGCTGATGCAGCGTATAGACATTTTGGAGGAGAAGATTCGCAAGAGACCGAATGAGGAGGGGTGAGAGTTTTACCGCACACTTCCTGAACAGTATAGAGAATATTCTTCTGGGACTTTGCTAGCTGCTGAATTCTGCCTGAACTTTTGAGATTGCGAGTTGTTGTATTACGCTTGAAATGGCCAGGAGGGTTACCGAAGCACGCATGGAGCTCGGTGATATTCTTTGCCTGGGTTACCGAAGCACGCATGGAGCTCGGTGATATTCTTTGCCTGTCTCATCGTGTCTACAGATCACCATTGACGAAAGTTATTTTTTGTTGTTTCATACTTACAGCGACTGAGATCAAACGAGGCTCACGGTTGAGGTTCATGTGATCGCAGTCCCTGTTAGTCTGATAGAACAAAAAGGCCCGTTTGATTGGAATACCACCAATCTCTAACTGTGCATGTGGTGATGATGTTGCAGGATGGTGGCTGTCACCTTGCAGCTCTTCACGTAAAATTTCTTCAGATAGATCAGAATGGATTTTTAGCTCGTTGCCAGTCTCGAACAATCTTAGAGAGACATAAACCATTGAGGAAGAGTGACTCAACCTCCTGATCTGTACCTCCTTGTTCGAGGTCTTCCTTCCTCGCACATAAACTATTTCCTTATAGAATTCATGGTCGCATGATTGTCATTCTCTAATTCTCGTTTTCTCAATATAATTTTGCTTCTTTACTTACATGATGGTGACCTGAATCCCGGCAATAGATTTAGCAACATGAAGGTTTTCAGGTTCGTGCATATCAATGCCCTTGCTCTGTTACCAACTCTTATTGAATTCTTCTCGTACATAAACCGTGGAGAGATCAAATAATAGCATAATCGTCAAGCAGATCACACTCTCTGCCAGTCGGCACCCGCTCGGACGCGATTTTCGAACAGAAGCTTCACATTCAGAATTCCAGTGAAGGTTTGACTGGTCTGTGGAGGACTCTGGATCACACACAGTTCCTTCTTCCAGCCATGCTTCAGAGCTCACGTCTGTGCCCATCGATAGAGCTAGACATCCGCGGCCGTGCTGGCAACAAGTGTCTCTGACTCATGTGAGCGTAGACAGATTCAAGCTGAAACCTGTCCATCCACGTTAGGCCTTCTTTTCGACTCACAACTTCCAACACGAGAGGAGACATTCCCATTCTCGCCAGCAGAAGCTTCGTGGACATATATCCCTCGAACCTTCCACGTACAGTTGATGCTATCTCGCAAACTGCCCGTTTCTATACGACTGAAGCACGTGCCTTAGAAGATGGGTTCAACATTCTCGAAGAAGAAAGATGCGGAATCACCAAATACAAATCCGCAGTTGAATATTTCATGCCGAATTGGTTCAGATTGAGGGTGAAGCAGCTCCTCGGAACTTGGAAATAGTGACTTGGAAATTCCGAATCCTGCATTTCGCCAATACCATTTGTCACTTATACCCGTGCTTTAAAATTTTCGAACCCAATAGCCAACAGGTGTAATGTAGTTTCGAAGATTTTCAAAGCCGATAGCCAACAGCTGAAGCCAAGCCATTGGGCATATTCATTTAGTTTCAAATTTAGTGCCAGACTACGATATTTTCGTACAGCTGAAGCAAAGGAGAGTATCGCATGAGAACACTGGTAATATCGTCCATGCTGTCGAATCAAGTCTTTTATCAAGCCTCGATCTGGATCTGAACTTGTCCGTACCGTACCTGTTAAGGACAAGTTTAGATCCACGATGTGCTTCGTATCGTCCTTGCACAAAACTTGTCTTAGTTGGCTAACATATGGATAATAGTACAATATATTTTTAGATATTATTTAGTACATATTATTAACATTTTGATTTTACGAGTTCAGTTGGTAACATTACTTTGTGAGATTTATCTTGTATTATTATGTAATCTCTATATACAATGAATGAATGAATAAGTCGCTATTGGAAGTATATGTTACAATACGTTGTGGGTGTGAGTACCAGCTAGTGTAACAGTCAAATCGAGCATCAAGCTTACTCCAATTAAATTAATTTAACTATTAATTTGTAATTCTTTGGTCACATGTCTCACGAACAATTAGAAATGATACCATCGTGAACATCAACAAAGGTGTTTACATGATTGTTAAATATATGTTATATTCTGTAATATCCATTTTACTCGTTGAGAGTGTTGTAAAAATCAATAGATTTCATTAGTGTATAACATTTTCTAAATGAACTTAAAGTGAATCAAAAAATTTGGAGATATCAGATATGATCTTTGTATATGAACTATTTCTATGACCTTTAACATGGTTGTTGGATGTAAACTACTAAATAAGATTGCTATTATTCAAATTATTGCTTCATATATTGTCTTTTCTGCGATATGTACTGTCCATATGCAATTTGTATGTTCATATACATTTTTGTTGTTTGAAATTTTGATTCCAGAATATGAATATTTGGAATATGGATTGATACTTAAATGAAATCAAGTTACTTTCTAAAAATGAGTACATCAAAATAGAATTGTGAAATTTAACTGTATTATCATAAAAAGGTTAAGAAACTCAATTTGGAATCCACAAACATAACTTTGTAAAATGTAAACTTTTTGTTGAAAGCCAAATATTTCCTAGTTTATGTGGTTTACAGTTCTTGTATCTTTTAGTCTAAATATTTTTATGAAAGTTCTTGATTGTAATATATAATGGACCTCATATTCATAAAATATTCAATCGGAGCCAAGAGTAAGATTTCAAGACGACTTCTTGCTTCAGTTGCAACGGTTAGGATCTTGCAGCAGTAAATATTTGATTATTTGGTGACAAGATTAATGTTTCGAAATAACATCTTGCTTCAACAGCAAAAAGTCTTGGTAAATAGGGTTATTTGATGAAGTCTATGATGTATTTGTGACAGCTAGAATATCGCGCCACGACTAGAATTTTCTTGCAATTTATCCAAAAAAGACCTATTCATAGCATTTCAATAAGAAATGAACTCAACATCCATATTCATATGCACTTTGAAGAAATGATTTGATGATTGAATTGGATTGCATTTGAGTCCAACCTACGAATTGAAGTCTTATTTAAGATCATATGAGTTTGAGTGAGCATTTGTAACACTAGAGTTTGGAGAGAAGTGCATTCGAAGATGAAAACATAAACTTTGAAGATGAGAGATATCAACAATGGTTCTACTCTTCCTTATATAGCTCTTAATAACAAATACAAGGATATAAGATTTCATTTTCATCATATATTTCACTCCTAGTGGATAGATGACATGACGGATGACTCTAATAAGCACACGAATCGCTAACGTGACGTTCTTAATTAACATACTAACTAACACATTCAATTTTTACCTAACAAGGACAAGAATTGTTGAAGTGGCGCTATCAACTAACACCTTCAATCTTTACCTATCAAGCACGCAGATCATTGATGTGACAACTAGACTAGTGTATGTTGAAGTAACTATAATTTCATCTTGAATAATTTATACTTTAGTTTTAACTAACTAAAGATGGTTACATCATTGTCCAAAATTTAAGTACATATTTGTTCATGTTGGTAGTTCAAATACTTGACTTGGAATCATTGATTGTTCAAAATCAAGAAAGTTGTTTATTGCATTCCAATAAAAAAAACATATTTGAAAAAAATTTGATCAATCATAGATTGCATCATGTTTTGAAGAGTCTTATTACCTTCCACTGCTACAAGATTCGTAAAAACATTATGATGTCTATGATTAAGAAGATGATTTCAAACATAAATATTTAAAAATTGCAATTTTTTTCATGTTCTCTATATTTTTTCTTGATGATCATGAGTTTGCTTTTTGAGCCATATGTATGTATAGGTTTTAAGTATTGAAATCCTGGTTTTTCCATTTTTTGTTTCCAATCAATTTAACGATGAGATCCGTCACCGTTAAATTACTTGATGAGATTTGTCATCAAGTAATTTTCAGGTTCATATCTGATCTACGTCTTGTTCCAAAGATGAAGTTAGTGTCTAGCTGATAGTGACTCATCTCTTAATGGTAAGAAATAGATAAATTGATGACACTACGTACTCAATTTTGTAAACATATGGAGAGCTTGAAAGTATTGATTTTGTTTCTATCAATTGCAATTTGTGAAAAAACTAAAGTGTTTACTCCTCTCATAGATGTTTGAACTCCTTTTGATATTGTCAAAATCTACATTACATGAAATAAAGAAAATCTTTTTGGGAATTTTGGTGAATTTTATGCACATTTTGATGCTTTGTTTTAAATGAAATATAAAACATTAAAATATATTTTTCTGATAAATGAATAATTGAATTATATATAACTCATTTAAAAATTGAATTAATTTTTTTATAAATATGGTGTTATTATATTTTTGGATTCAAACTTAGTGTTGTTCGGATGATTGCATCTATTTGGGTGATCAAGTTTTTTTTATTATTGGTTTGTCTGCGATTGTAACTATGAAAGATTTTCATTGACAAAAGCTCGGCCTGTGCTGTAAAAAGTTTATTGATGATGACAATGAGTCTCCTTACAACAACAACGCGGAATTGTTCTCGATAAGTTCAATGTGCGCCACACACAAAATGATGTCGGGTGGATGAATATGGTTGATAATTACTTTGTCGTATCCAATAATACTATCTAGATTGATCCTTATAGATTGTTGTACACAAAGCAAAAGTGCACTTAAGCACAACATTTTTCCTCAACATACCAGAATTTGCTTTATAGATGAATTTGAACACTTGGCAAAATTTAGATATGATGTTCACGTGTGAAATGGGGGATGAAGTAGTAGACACATCTCCAACTTTTGCATTTCCGACATTGAGACTTTGAAATGTTGGTGTCACTTTCATTGCCAAACCAATTGGCAAAGCCAACATCATAGCTGCAGCTGCTACTCTTTTGTCAACAACAAAGCAAAAAGGCTTTAAACCAGCATCAACACCTGCTCGTTTTAAAAATCACATGTGTTTGTCAATACTAGAACATTGGTGATGGCATATCGACGGTGCAATCTCATCGGATAAAATGATACTTGATGGTTTCTAGTATGCTATGTGTGTTACACAATGATCCCATCAAGTAATTTTCTCTGAATAGGTGAGAGTATATCAAACACAAATTATGATTATATCAATGAAAGCTCCATTGATGAAGAATTGAACTGCATGGGATAAATAGAGCCATAAATCCTGGTATACTATGGTATAAAGCAATAGAAAATGAAAAAAACTAATAATTCTCAAAAATTCATTATGATTCTACATACATACATTATGTGATAAGCTTAATCCCAAACAATCATCAACATTCAAAATAATAATTCTTTCAATGTCATGAATTAAGTCACTTTGTAATGCAATTGATCTAAGCAAAAAAAACCAAAAGTAAACATCAGCCTTTGCACACAATCCAAAAAATTCTTCAGTTGAGAGTTGTTACTAGTGTAAGAGTTCAACAATCCTGATTTCATATGTCATTTTTTTGTGGGCAAAAGATAAATGAGATAATTGAAGTTTATGTTGGGATAAGTAATAACATTAAATGGCATGTACACTTGTGAAGTAGACTATTACTCTAGAGTTAATTCTATTTGCACTTTGTTGAAATGTAATGCAAATTTCATTTTTATCATAAAATAATACTAGTTATTATTCACACTTTCATAAGTTTTGCTTTGACCTCA